CCTGCCTGTTCAGTTTCCCTTTTGTCTGGTCTACTCGTTACGTGGATGTGTTTCCTGCGTTTATGTACCCTGTGTTCCATGGATTAAAGACTGTTTCGTATATTCCTCGTCTCCTCGCTCCTTAGTTCCGGTTATCCTTGTGTGTGTGTCATGACAGAAGACCAGACCAAGACAGTAAGCGGTGCCCCTTCTCCCGTGTTTTTATTTCCATTTTTTGTCATCTTTTGTTTTCCCTTTTCTTCTCCTGTCAAGCGCGCTGGCAGCGCCGTTGTCATGCCCGCCGGCCACGACTCACTCCAGCCCGCCGGCCGCGCAGAAGTCAAGTTCACCGGGGGCTCCTGCTCCCGAGTATAGCCCACGGAGGGCTGCTGTTCCCAAGTATAGCCCATGGAGGGCTCCTGATTCCCCGTCGAGCCCAGGGAGGGCTCCTGTTCCCGAGTATAGCCCACGGAGGACTCCTGTTCCCGAGTATAGCCCACGGAGGGCTCCTGTTCCCCAGTTAATTCTAGGGAGGGCTCCAGATCCCCAGTTAATCCCAGGGAGGGCTCCAGATCCTCAGTTAAGCCTAGGGAGGGCTCCAGATCCTCAGTTAAGCCCAGGGAGGGCTTCGGATCCCCAGTTAAGCCCAGGGAGGGCTCCAGTCCGCTGTCATGGCCCACGGAGGGCCTCGGAACCCGTAAGCGTCCCCAAGTATTTCTTTTGGGGGGGGGGGGGACGGCCTCGGAGGCTACTTTGCCATAGCCTCCTGAACGACCTGCTCCGCCATGGCGCCCCGAAGTGCCAGATCCGCCATGGCACCCAGAGCTGCCGGATCCACCATGGATCCCGGAACGGGCGCCACCCTGGAGGCTTTCCGTCCGGTAACCCTGCTCATAGAGGCCTCCAGAGCGCGGGACTTATGTCAGACTCTGGTCCGTGTTTTGTGTGTGTTTTGCTCCTCGTGCCTTTCTGTGTTTCCTTATTTGGTCATTTTCCTGTCCTTTAGTTTAATTATGACTCCATTCAGCTGTGTTCTGTTAATTACCCTTGTATTTAAGTTCCTGCGTGTTCAGTTTCCCTTTTGTCTGGTCTACTCGTTACGTGGATGTTTCCTGCTGTCTCCTGTGTTTATGTACCCTGTGTTCCATGGATTAAAAACTGTTTCATATATTCCTCATCTCCTCGCTCCTTAGTTCCGGTTATCCTCGTGTGTGTCGCGACAGTCTGCCTCCCGAACAGTGTTAGGTAGATTGTTCCAGAGTTTGGACACTAAATAGGAAAAGGATCTGCCGCCCGCAGTTGATTTTGATATTCTAGGTATTATCAAATGGCCAGAGTTTTGAGAGCACAGTGGATGTGGAGGACTGTAATGTGATATGACGCAGTGGTGGAAAGAGTACTGAAAAAATATACTCAAGTAAAAGTACCATTACCTTCCAAAAAATGTAGTGTGAGTAGAGTAAAAGTACTTGTCCAAAAAACTACTTGAGTAAGAGTAAAAGAGTAGCCTATTTAAAAGTACTCATGAGTATTGAATAGTGAGTACTGAGCTGTGGATTCTTCCCCCTCATAATAAATGCTGTACACCACAATTTATACATTTTAAAAACGTTGTACATTCTGTAATTCACATTATCTTATTTGTCATAAAGAATGAAGAGTATCTATCATCCAGCAGTTTTAATTTTGACTGCCAACTCTTTAAAATACATCAAAACAGCACGGAAACAGTATTCAGTTGAAGAAAAGATGAAAGTTATTCTCAATACAATCATCCACATTTAAATCATAAAGTTTGAAAAAAAAAAATTTTCTGAAAGTAATATTCAGATGCAACGGGGGAAAAAACGGAATAAAAAAAAAACGTTTATTAATGAGCTGCAGTTTTATTACATCACACGCTGGCACAGATGCAGTATATTAGCATCACGGGTCATCAATAAGGTGCAGATTTGGTCCTCACTTTGTGTTTCCAACACACTTTTTCACAGCGCGCATCACGCGCTCAAACTCATCAAAAGTCAACAAGTTCAACAAGGAACAACGACTTATACAAGTGACTGCTGCAGAACGCACGCAAGAGAGAGACGGGGCAGCGCAGATCGCGCGTCTCATAAGTGAGCGGGAATTTACCGAACGTGGCACTTGCGGGAGTTAACACTGTATGCAATACCCGCAACCTCACACCAAATTTCAGGCCGTGTAGATAGGCAAGCATATATACAAATCATTTAGTAAGCAGAAATCCGAAACTTACCTTAACATATTAAGTTAGAGGAAGATGCGACTGAATTTATGAATTGAGCCATGATAAACAGTTGGCGGTTAAAGTTTTCTATGCACAATTTGATTTGACGAAAGTCACGAGACCTATTACTCTCTATCCAGTCACGTTGATGGATAAAAATAAAATTAAAATAAGCATGTAACGACCACAAACGGAGGAAAATAGCAGAGTAAAAGTACCGATACATCACTTAAAATGTACTCAAGCAAAAGTAAAAGTACAATGTTACAATGTAAACTACTCAAAAAAGTACAATTACTGATAAAAACTACTTAATTACTGTAACGTGAGTATTTGTAATTCGTTACTTCACACCCCTGGATATGAGCTTGCTCGAGTACAGAGGAGCTAAACCATTTAGGGCTTTAAGTAATTAGCAAGATTTTAAAATGTGTTTAGGGTTCAATAGGGAGCCAGTGCAGAATTGACAGAACCGTTTAAGTGTTTAACTCCTGTGGTTGATATCTGTGTCGTTCTTGAGAAGTGACCAGACAAGTCCTGCAAGCACTGCGTCCTGTTTGATTATTCAGGAATTCACATGATCACTTTCTTTATAAGACGTAACACTTATGCAAAGCAGCATGAGTCAGCAATTAAGTATTTATTACATCAGTATTGTCAACTACCATCATGACACACGTGCTGCACAATTTAGCCCACAACCTCCATTTTGACAAAACACTTATACAGTGGCTCAGATCCACTTAAAGAGATAGTTCACCCAAAAATGAAAATGTTATGTTTATCTGCTTACCCCCAGGGCATCCAAGATGTAGGTCACTTTGTTTCTTCAGTAGAACACAAATTATGATTTTTAACTCCAGCCGTTGCAATCTATCAGTCGTATAATGCATGGCAATGGTAACAAAATCTATGAGAGTAAAAAAAACATGCACAGACAAATCAAAATTAAACCCTGCGGCTCGTGACGACACATAGATGTCCTAAGACACAAAACAATCGGTTTGTGCCAGAAACCGAACAGTATTTATATAATTTTTTACCTCTAATACACCACTATGTCCAACTGTCTTTGGGCACGTGCACGGCATCCGGTGCGTGAGGTGTGTACGCACTCTGTTTGACACAATCTGTATTGTTAAAAGCGCTATATAAATAAAGGTGACTAGACGGCCACCGGTACAAGACCACAGGAACCAGACCAGTACTCTGCACAATCTGACTTTGCTGCAGCCTGGAACTGAACTGCTGGTTTCGGCTGGCCAGAGGAGAACTGGCCCCCCGACTGAGCCTGGTTTCTCCCAAGGTTTTTTCTCCATTCTGTCACTGATGGAGTTTTGGTTCCTTGCCGCTGTCGCCTCTGGCTTGCTTAGTTGGGGACACTTCATATCCAGCGATATCGTTGACTTGATTGCACAGATACTATTTAAACTGAACTGTGCTGGATAATGACATTACTGAATTCAATGATGAACTGCCTTTAACTGAAAATTGAGTGTTTACTATTGTCCTTTTGCATTACTGACACACTATTTTCCTATTTAATGCGGTAAAGTTGCTTTGACAGAATCTGTATTGTTAAAAGCGCTATATAAATAAAGGTGACCTGACTTGACTTGACTTGAATGACAACATTTTTTGTTTGCTTACAACTCCCTTGATATGAGCTGAAGATGGATTGAATAATGTGACGTATACATTCAAAAAAGTGATCACATGATTACTTTTGTTAATAGTTACATAGAAACTGGGAGTGGCTCATTTACTTTCTTGCTCAACTTACCCCATTCTCCCCAATAAGAAAAATCTAAACAATAATCCCTATGACAGAAAATGCATTTAAACTGTTCAGTGCATAGTAGCACAAGCTATGGAGGCCAGTTTAGCTTTACATAGTTTGTGTTAGGAAAATTAGTTTAGGTTCTACTAAAAAGATCCTGAACTGGAGTAAAACTGAGCTTCTGTTGTCCATTATATGTGAGATTGGGGACAAGCATTAAACTAATGAACAACCCCACTGTCAAAACCTGAGACAGAGGGTCTGACATTTTGTTTTTATGTGTGTACATGTTCTTTGTACAAATATCAGTCCTAATTGGTTCCAATGAATGGGGAAAAAAAAGACTCCCCATCTCACCTCAGTGTATCTGAAGACAGCATACAAGAGTACATTAACCTTTTTAACTGAAATATACAGGTGTCAGTATTTGCTGAGAAAGGCTACAAATGAGCATAATTTAAAACATGAAGGTGGTACTTCATGCTTTTTTTGTGGTGGGAAAATTAAATTAAAATATGTATTTTTACATAAATTTTTACATTACCTATCATTTCCCACTTGTGGGTACATTATGTTCAGATGATTATATGATTATATTGAGACAAATCAAAAGATGTTGATCTAGCAACACACTGTACAAAATCACAGTCAATGCGTATACCTGTTTTTTTATTTATTCTTTCAGGGTGTGGGTTAGGGTTAGGTTACAACATTTATAACTATAAAAAAAAATTGACGCCTACAAAAAAATCCCAATTTAGATAGCTACGTAAACATGTGTGTATGTGCATGCGTGTGTGTGTGTGTGTGTGTGTGTGTGCACGCATGTTTGTGTGTGTCAATAATCAGGTATCTCTTAACTCCCCAAACCAGATTGCTCTGTTCATTCTTCACATTCAAATGCTTTTTTTCCACCTGCACATATTCATTGTCTCCCCTCTGTCAAAAACCCCACCCTCTCTATCACGGCCATATATCTGGACATATTCAAACCAGCCATCTAGTGTGCTGCAGTCCAAAGACCCGTTCATTTTAGAAGAGCTTCTCTGCTGTCAGAATTCAGTTCTGCTGAACACCTTGTCAACATGATGATCAGAATTGTGCTTGGAGTCATTGCAGCGATTGGATTCCTCACTCTCAGTAAGTCTACAATAGGTCGTTATCATCCCCTCCCCTAAGTTAATGTAATATTTCAGATTTTTAAATATTTTTAAAGAAGGCTTTTCTGCTCTCCAAGGTGGCATTTACTTGAATAAAATAAAATAAAAAAGTAATGCTCAAAACTATTATTACAATTAAAAATAACTTTTCTATTTGAAAATATTTTAAAATGTAATTTATTCCTGTGATGGTAAAGCTGAATCTTCAGCTAAATAATGTCACAATAGTACAAAATACTCTGCTAACAATTCCACAGTACCAGTATACATGGCTGACATTTGTTTGAGGAGATTGTTGTGATGATGTAAATAATTTTTTAGAATGTTTTAAGTGTTTGTTTTTTAAGAGCAAAAAAAAGGATATGTTACATCAAATGAAAGAAACATTGTTAATGTTATTAAGAAAGAGTTTTACTGTAATGTCTTTGATTTAAAAATACCATTCTTTAAACAGGGCTTTTTGGTAACACTTTAGATTTGGTAACACTATTCACTATTAGGTAGTTGTTTATTAGCATGCATATTACCAGCATATTGTCTGTTTATCAGTACTTATAAAGCACATATTAATGCCTTATTCTGCATGATCATTTTCTAGATCCCTTAACCCTACCCGATACCTAAACATAACTACTACAACAACTACCTAACTACCTTACTTACCTTAACCAGTAAATAAGAGTTTATTGAGGGAAAACTCAAAGTCTAAAGTTTCTAAATTGTGTTGATTGAAATTAGAGTAAAAGTAATGAAGTTATTGTTGAAGCATTAGAAAAATGATTGTGATAAAGGGAGGGAAAATGTTAGGTTATTGACATTGGACCAGCTTGACACATTCGATTACTAGACTCACAACAGTCCGGGTTTTTTTTTCCAAATTTTAGTAAACACAGTATCAACTCGTTGACATTATGATAATGCTGTGCTGTTCTGTTTTTAATTTTTTTAGTGGAATATAATGTATTATCATTCAAAAATGTGGACATCTTGTGTGTGTGTGTGTGTGTGTGTGTGTGTGTGTGT